GAGTCTCATGACGTCAAGGTTCGAAGCGTGCTATGCAGAAAGGTAGAGCATAATTACTACGGTGGAATAAGCCATAAGCAAATCTGTTGTTGCATTCAGTCCATTCTAGACTCCACAACACAACCTCATCTTCTCCTAAAATAAAAGGATTAATTAACTTAAACTCAGAAGCAAAGAATAAATAAATAAATAAAGAAAGAAAGAAAGAAAGAAAGAAAGAAAGAACTACCATCCAGTCAAAGGAACAAATGGAAACACACACCCCCTCTCACCGATTGAAATCCGACACCCCCTCCCCCTAACTACAACTACAACCACAAAAACAACAACAACCAAAACTAACTTTGAAATAGTGCTGGGTTTTCCCCTTACCGGCTTGAGAAGCTTCCACAGTCTTTTGTAGTTGCTCTGTGGGAAATGCCAATGCGTCATTGTGAGGCAGTGTGGTGAAATCAGGCGCTCGTCAAAATAACGAAAGTCAAGATTTTGGCTTTTTCCCGCAAGTTAGGGAATTTTTATCGAACTTTTGTTTTTTAGTTCAGCACCTTCCATGTCCAATAAAGAGCACATTTCTGTGTGGATTTTACTGAAAAACGTTGATTAAAGGCAGAAGAAATGATCACATTTTCAGTTTCCCCGGACTCTCGAGCTAAAGAAATGACTCAACTTTGACGCCATTTTCTCGCCGATTTTTATCTCTGAAACCAGATGACCTTGACCTCCTTCAATCACACATATCTCGACTTCTATTCATCATAGATGGATATTATTTTCACCCGAAATAAGGAAAATGGGCAGGCCTTAAGATGATACCATCAACTCCGTATGCCCCAAAATTGACGAGAGCCTGATTCCAGCGCGTCGTGCCACTCATGTACTATAGTACTAGTAATACAGCTAGGCCTATTATGCACGATTTTTAGGGTTACTTTTTGTGTTTGCATGAGAACAATGCCTTTGTAGCTACAAAGTGGGTGGTTGGAGGGAGCTCTGGTGTGGTTTGCTTCTTCTTTCCTATCAAACATCTATCATCCTGATCTCTCCTCCTTCTTTTTTCTGTTTGCTACTCTCTTGTAACACTTCTAATCTTCGACACTTATATGACCTTATTGTGTTGCAAGTGCCGTAAAACCTCTACTAAAACAGTAGCTACAAAATATAGGTTATCAGACGATTTTGTTCGTGAGGGGCAAATACTAAATAGCCTAAAGGTTACATGACATAAGCTGCTGAGTAAACTACATGTAATTTCGGATTGTGATTGTTGTAATGCCAATAAGGGATGAGGCAATCGCCCAGGGCTTGGATTTGCCGAAATTGGAGGGCGTGGCCAAGGACAGACGAGCGTGGTGTTGACTGTTTATGTACCTGACGATATATGGAGAGAGTAAGTA